ATAGTTTTACAATTATCGCACTCACAATGTTGATGCTACAAAAATGTCGAGCTACAAAAATTGTTAATTGATCGAAAACTTATTGAAAAAGTGTATAAACATAAAAATGTATGGACAGCGAATTATTTTCGACCTGAATTTTTTCACTTCTGAATTTTCATATATCATAATTTAAAATAATGTTTATTTAATAACGGTCAGAAGTGGGTGCAAGCCTCAATATCCGTTTCCGCGCCAATCTACCCACATAACATACCTTAATAATAATAATAAGTTTATTGTAATTACCTCATATACAGGATTACAAATTGCAGAGTTTGGCCAATCTTCCACTCCTCCAGTATAAACAAGAAAACATAAAAACTTGACACTATAGAAATTAACCCAAAAATTAACAGGTTATTCATTAATAAGAGACCTAAATATAAACCCGAAACTAAAATTGAACAAATAGATATAATTTAAATAATATTAACATCATATTCAAAAAAAAAACAAAATAAAATACCCAATTTAACCTAACTAAAACTCTCCTCTCTTAGCCGATTGTACAGTTTTTTCTTTATATTAATCGTTGAGGTATCAGCCTCAAACAACGCCCTAAACTTATTCAATGTGTGAGAGGCTATATAATCGAAACTCCCCTCAAATTTAGATGTTCTAAGCTGAGAAAGGCTAAAATTACCAGCCTCATGTATATTTACCTGATGAGCTGATTTAAGTAGTTCTATTGCTTAATTAATCGCTTATTGGTAAAAGAGCAAACCATAGTTTTAGAAGATGAAAGAGAATGACACCGCGAATCTAGAAAAGGGATGAAATTAGATATTGCCTCCTCCAAATCACGACGACACCCCTCTACACCCTCATTCGTTGTATATATTGCGATATCATCAGCAAATACGAGAACTTTGAAATTTGGATTATTAAAATTTTTTTCTAGCCTATGATAATATATAACATAGTGTAAAGCAGATAGAATTTCACCTTGGGGCAAATCCGAATTTGTAGATCTTGGATCTGATAAATTCCCATTTATGTTTTAGAAGGAGTTTTCTATTGATGTATAAATCATGTATACCAGGGGTGGCCCACCGGTCGATCGCGATCGACCGGTAGATCGCGACTGTTAGTCCAATCGATCGTGGACAGGCAAAAAATATAAATGATTAGACCAGACTGCTCAACCTAATTATCAACTACTGCAGCATCATCTTTCCTTAGGGGGTGATGATTGTCGGCCATTGCGTGATTTAGACTCGCAATGTGATTTAGCTTTCTTGGTCGATTTTACTGGAAAACTGAGCAGACTAAATCTGAATCTACAAGGAAAGAATAAAACATTAACTGAAATGATGAGTTCTATTGCAGCATTTCAAAGTCAAACAGAATTTATGATAGTTGACTCAGGTAAGAAAAAATTTGAACAATTTGTAAACATCAAGGATCATATGTAAAAATATCTCGCCTACAATTTCATTTCTGAAATTTCTATCGTGAAGTACACGATAGAAATTAGGGCAGTGATAGCAGACTTTGAAATTCGCTTCAGTGATTTCAGAAAAATTGAGAAGAAGGTTCAATTCATAAGTTATCCATTTAATGATATAACTGATCATAATGAAATTTATGAATTGGCTACAAAATTTGCAGATACATTTCAAATCGAGCACATGATGTAACAAAACGAAATTAATGCTCTGCGCTGTGACATAGTTCTGAATGCAAGGTCATCCGCAAGTCAACATTTCTGGGCATTGGTTTCCAACGGAAAATACCCAAATTTGAAAAAAAGTCTTGAACAATTTCATTCGTGTTTTGGTTCAACATATTTATATTAGTTAGCCTTTTCGTACTTAAAACAAACAAAAAAGTAACTTCGTTCTCGCTTGACAGATTCTCATACATTGGATTTTTTAAGGTTGGCAATTTCCAACTACAAACATGATTATGCTAAACTAATAGATAATGCGCAGGCGCAATGCTCACACTAATATATAGGACCCAAGTATGTACTTGGTAGATCGCACAGGGTTTCGTTAGTAAACAGTAGATCTTAGGTCTAATTAAGTTGGCCACCCCTGATGTATACGATCAGTAAAACGGAGACTCAAACCTACTTCCCTCCACAGAACCTGGAGGGAAACTCTGTAATAAGCACATTAGCACAAGCACATTATAAGGACATTAGAATAGTTTTATTAGAGAAGGCTTTACATAGAATTGAGTAGACGGAAATTTGTTACTTGGTCCCATCCACCAAACTAAACGAGACTTGTTATTTCGAATATTAAATTAAATTAAACTCTTGGCTTATTCTTCACGATTATATTTAACAACATGAATTTGTCAACATGTTTCGAATGTGAGCTCATTTTCAAGACTCTTGAGTCTTTAAATTAATTAAAATTATTCAATTTCAATTAAATCATTTATTTAATTTAAATAAATGATTTAAATCATGAAGTAATCTTACCTCCGCATTTAGAACAACGAGAGTTACTTCGACATATAGGCCAAGCAACGGGAAACTTCTAATAGGGGATTTTTGACTTTATTTATTTCAGCAAAGCGACTGTGCCATTAGAAGAAAGGTACTTTATACTTTATTTTTGTTATAATTTGGACAAGCAAATACCAATAATAAATTTTTTATTGGCGATTTATACCTAAAAATCGCATTTTTTAGTTTTTTATTTATAACATTGAAAATAATTACGTAAACTCAATGATATCAATAGATATATTTTTGGCGATTCAATAACGAACAAAATCCGTCACTCGACCCGATCGAATCATTAGAAGCGGAGAAAATTTGGATAAACTCCGAAATTTATTGTTTATTTAACTAATTAATTACTTCGTTAATTTTTATCTTACCTGGCTGCGATTTGGTGGAAAACTAACAATCTTGGCACTCTTCAAGTTGGAAAAAATGGACAATGGTGACATAATAATTTTTTGCGTAATTGGCGGTTCCAATAAATCAATGCATTCAATTGAAAAATGTCTGGATTTGGAAAAAACGGATTTGGAAAATATAAGCGAAGTACAACAAAATGTATATCTTAAATTTTTGAAAAAATATTTCAAAATACCCGAAAAAAGGAGCGATTTTCCGAACGGACAAGCGCTCGTAAAGGACGCAGTGGAAGGGTGGACTTGGACAGTAAGAGAGGCAAACATGACGTAATACACGACACGCTGCCCGCTTGTATTACTATATATACTTGCCTCTCCTACTTTCCAAGTCACCCTTCCACTGCGTCCTTTACGAGCGATTGGCCGTTCGGAGTCATGTTTACAACTTTTTTTCGTGTATTAAGCAATATTTTTTCGAAAATTTAAGATATGCATTTTGTTGTACTTTGCTTATATTTTCGAAATCCGTTTTAACGTACCCAATTGGACAATTCGTGTGGCATCCAGACATTTTGCAATTAAGCGTATTGATTTATTGAAACCGACACTTACGCAAAAAATTATTATGCTGCAGTGTCTATTTTTGCTCAACTTGCAGAGCGCCAAGATCGCTACTTTTCCACCAAATCGCAGCCAGGTAAGATGAAAACTAACGAAGTAATTGATTAGTTAAATATGCAATAAATTTCCGAGTTTATCCGAATTTTCACCGTTTCTAATTATTCCATCGCGTCGAGTGACGGCCCAAATTTGAAAAATCCAATAAAAGAAACTATTTACCTACTCATATTTACGGAATCAAGTGAGCGAGCAAAGAAAGTGTCGGCGATCAGATTATCAGAGAGTGAGGCGGCAAACATCAAAGCCTTTGATGTAGGTACTATACTAGACGATTCTAGATCATTCCTTCATTTTGCTTATATGAGCGGGTGGGTGGCCCGAACTTTAGGTGATCGAGGTGATAACTTCGACAAGTGACATCCTAGCGAATTGCTAGTGCCGTCAATTTGCTATGTGACTTTGTGCGCATCTTGAGCGCTTACTATTTATGTTTTGTTATTAAGTTTATCGAACGAAAATGATGTCCAGTAAGACGAAACAATATTATATTTAACTAAATTATAGTGAAAATAAAAAATCTACTTAGTTTTATTTAAATTACATTTTCTTTAATAGCATTAGACGAGAGCACCGATTTGTCTGACACAGCTAAACTGGCTATATTTATTCGAGGTGCTGATAAAGAGTTCACTGTAACTAAGGAATTGCTTGCTTTACAGCCGCTAAAAGGAACCATTACAGGAGAGGACATTTTTAATGAAGAAGGTATTCACAAGTTTTGGCTTGCCATGGTCAAAATTAGTTGGAGTAGCACAGATGGTGCACCTTCTATGGTCGGCTTACGTAAAGCTTTCCTCGCAATTTTGAAATAAAAGGCAACTGAATTGAATGTGCAAAAAGATGGTTTGATGGTCCTTCATTTCATTATCCAACAATAGAACTTCTGTTCTAAGTCCATTCTTTTCCAAAATGTTATGAGTGTGGTAGTAAAAAAACATAAATTTTATTCGACCATGAGTGCTTAACCATCGTCAGTTCCAGGCGTTTTTGGATTAAATGTCAGCCGAATATGACGATGTAATATATCCAAATTGGACATATGACTTAGCATTTTTGATCGATCTCATAAGCCATTTGAATGATTTAAATATGAAACTAAAAATACAATGACAGTTAGTAAATGATTGGTACTGCTATTTGAAAGCGTTTCAGAACAAAATACTCTTGTGGGAGGCACATATGCTCCCAGGTAACAGTTACCATTTCACCGTACTCTCTACGCATGAAAATATTGCTTATGCTCAATGTGCTGAAAATCTCAAACTATTTTGCAATTTTCGAACATATTTAGTGTGATTTCAAAAACATGGAAGACTGTTTCAATTTATTTGCTACTCGAACCAAAAGTAATGTACAAAATGCTCCAATACACTTTCAAATGGAGTTGATCGAGATTCGAGAAAACTCATACCTTAAATCTAAATTTGAAGCCGTGGTTGAATAGTGTTACTCTGCCGGTCTCCGTGGCATAGTCGGGAGAATACCCGACTATAGATCGGTAGGATTCGGGTTCGAGCCTCGGTGAAGGTATGTATTTGTCTATGATTTAAGTAGTTTAATGATGAAGAAAATTGTTGGGTATTGTACATTTTTATTTTTCTCGTTATCAATATCAAATGTCAGAATATAAAAACGATTTTTAAGCAACTACCTTTATATAATTATTACCTAGATACTACCAATCCATAGTCCTTCCAATTTATGCAATATTGAATTGGAATATCTGTTGATATATTTTGCAGTTCTGGTAACCACTTAAAGATAAATGTTGTATGTTTTATATTTTATTACTAAAATTGTTTAAATCTTGAAGTGATAGTTGGAGTATAGTTTACATATATTTCAATAAAATATTCAAGTTGTTCAAATATATTTTCAAGGTATTACATGTAATATAACTGTTGGGTGTTCCTCTTAGGAAAAAAGTTTATAAATAATTTCAATAGATAATTGTATGATCTACAATTTTCGTTAGCACGATTTTTTTTATATAATGTACCGTTAAGCTGAACATTTTCTGAAAAGACAATCATTGCATGCAGCTGTCCGTTGTTTAAAGATAGATCGATTAGCTGATTCTACTGGAATCAGCTGATGCGACGTTGCCAATTCTATGTTCATGGATTGTAAGTAAAGTTAGGCTGTGGAGAATATATTCCATTACATGTGATAATAATATCTTCAATGTAATAAAAACTCCAAATGGACCTGATTGAAATTAAATAAGATAAGCAACAGTTGCCATTGAATATACATGAATTTATTTTCAAAAATGATGAATAATCAAAATTATAATTAACTTTCTAACAGTTTCCAACATAAAACATTTAAAAATTTATACTAACAATAACATTTTCCTAATATCCTATATATGTTATCTGGAATGTTTTATTGAAATCTTGTTATTCTTATACTAATTCTTGACTTAAAGAAAAAGAATCATGTTCACAAAATTAATAGCATGAAACATGGCTCATTTCCAAATGACTCAAGACTACGATGGTTTCGAAATGATTGTCCTGATAGACACTGTTGCCAAAGGCAGTAAAGAAAAAGAAGAACAAGGAGAAAATGGATATATTTTGTGGATTATACTTCAAAGAAGAAAGCTTACTTACTTAACCTATTTAATATTTTGTAAACATATTGAGTACCAAGTAATTTAGATTTTACTTTCTATATTTTGAACCTAGTATTGTGCGATAACAATCAAGTTTAATAATATCGTCAAAATAAGTTGAGTTTAAGAGTAACCTGTAACGTTTTATTGGAAAACTAGGTAACAAGCACAAGTGTAGTTTTGGTAAAACAAAATATAAGATTGCAAAAATTTGCTGAATATTATTGGAAGAACATCATATAAGATTGGAACAATCGGAGAATTGAATATTTTTACCAGAGTGAAATACTAAGGAGTATGTCGTCCACATCTAACAACGATAGAATTGAAAATAAAACTCAACTGGAAAAAAAACCTGATTTTATATCCTTTAATAAGTCTCCATGCTCAAATTTCACTCCACCTCATTATAGTAGCCCAATGAAAGCAGAGTACTATAATCAAAATAAATGGAAGGCTAATCGTGAATTTAATCATTCTATTAACACAAGTGGAAGTTATTCCGAAAGTTCCTATAATAATTCCAGGAGAAGGTATTCTCCATTGCAAAGATGTAATAAGTTTAATAATTACAGTGGAAATTATTCTCAAAACTATTCTGCACAGCAATATTCACCACAAGGCAGTAATCATTGTAATAATTACAGTGGAAATTATTCCCAAAACTATTCTGCACAGAAATATTCACCACAAGGCAGTAATCATTGTAATAAATACAGTGGAAATTATTCAGGAAACTTCAGCAGTAATGCTAGCAGTACAAATCAATATTCATTTCCAAGAAGTGTATGTATCTATTAAAATTTTTAAATGTAATTGCTAATTGAAATGCTGTAAAATCTTTTCAAAGGCTACTAACATCATAAAATCCTGAAATCATTATCATTTCCTACTGTCTTCACTTGCATAATTCCATCCTTTTCAAAGGCAATAGAGGAGGTGGCAGTATGAATTGGAGTAACTGGAGTGATTTTTAAATAAAGAATTCTCTTATATTTTGCATGCCATACGTTATATAATTTATGTTTTGCTCAGTTCATTAATTGGTTACCAAAATTATGCTAATATATGTATTTAAATTTGTAGGGTAGCACCAAACATGAAAGAGATATCACTTGTTATTTGCATCCCTCATTTATGGAAGATCCTTGGAAAAGATTAGAAGATGAATATCTACAAAAAAATAAAAAACAGTAATTTTTTTGTTCTGTATAGTTTTTAATGCTCATTCAGGCATAGACTATGCTTGGGTCATCTATCAATTCTATCAATATTGATGTTTGGGGCACACTTCTTGATTTCAAGTCTAACCAGTCAGACTACGCTTCCAATTTTTTTGTGCCTATCTATTGTGCTGACAAACAGGTTGACTTCATGTTCAGATGTTTCTGTGTTAAAAGCTATCATTTTGTGAATATTTCATTTTTTAATTTTGGTTGTCAGTGTTTTGATCCTGACCACCTACATATTTCTTTCCTTTTTTTTGCATGTTTTTGATAGTTTATACGTATTATATATGTATGTTAATTTAATTTTTGTTGAAATTTCAATATTCTGCACTGATTCATGAAATATTTTTAGAGAGGGTTTCCCGTCATCAACAAATATTAGTTATTAAGTTGTACAAATATTATACACTTTTAAATGAAATTAAGTAATTCTTATACATAACTTGTGTATTTAACTATTTATGAATTAAGATGAATCAAATATTTTACAAATCCATAGTTTCTTTGGGTACCTATCAAATCAAATAATATCAGTTCATATATTTTAAAGTAATATGAATAAATTATACAGTTACTGTTATAATTGATTTTATGTTTAAAGCTAGTTTCTCTTAATTTAATGAACTGAAAGTAAAAAAGCGAACTTCAAGTAAAAATAATAATCAACGAGAAGAAATGAATCAATTTACAAAAAATCTGGATATTCTCTGCAATAATCAACTACAAATTGTTGAAAATCATCACATTCAAATTACGCGGTTACATTTGTAGCGCCGTCTACTTCCTCTGAAGTACGGTTTGTAACTGGTTGACAAATAAAGTTTGCTTTTCGAGTTGAGACTTCTAGCAGTGCGTATTAATCTTCCCTTTTCATTTCACACTTCTACAGTTAATTAATTTCATTACATATAGGTCTTATTTATTTAATTGAAAACATTGCTAATATCTTCAAAATTGTTTAATACTCTTGACACACTTTTTGATGAAAGCTCTGATTAGAGCTAGAACTTAGAGCCTCCGCAAACGACAAACTTTCTATCGGCCGATAGTTTGGTCGGGCTTATAATCAGTATGAAGATGTGTGTAAGTCCGCATACTACAACGATTTGGTATCGGCCGATAAATAAGTTTGTTTGGCTACTCGAGTGTGTTCAAACTAAACTATCGGCAATCCATCGGCCGACTGCTATATCAGTATGGAGCTCCTCGCAAGCGCGATACCGACTGATTATTTAGTCGGCCGATGGTTCAGTACGCTCCGAGTTTTGGAGTGAATGGTCGTGTATTTTTTTTTCCTTATGGTACTGTCCAATTCTACTCAATCGCTGGTAGTAGAAACGTCAAAAAAGAAATAGAAAAAAGACCCGCACTTAAAAAACTTAAAAGAGTATTCTCATGTAAACGTGAACAATAAGTTGTGGGAAGAAGTTTGTGAAGCTCATTTAATAATCTATAACTGTGGATGAAATGACTTCGCCTCCGTTATTTAACTTCAAACTGCGAAAGTTTTGGGAAGCGTTTTTTGGGACCTCTCTGCATTAGTATAACACATAAACTTATGGCGGGAATATTAGCAAACCCTCTGACATATGTCAGATATTTATTTCATGGTCTGTATTAAAGGTGGCCGTGGGTATACCAAACAAATTTTGACTTTATATTTCATTAGTGTGATATACATAATACTTATTTCTATGTAGTGTTATTTGAACTTTTTACTATGAATTAATCTAATATTCTTCGTCTATAATATTTACTCTATTTAGGCAGGCTTCGTGTATAGTGCATATAGATCAATAACTACGATTACGGTAGAATTAGCACTGAAAACGTCATAGAAGTGCTCTATTAATAAACATGCAGTGTTTTTTTAATGTCAATACTTTATCAATAAACATGCAATTTTAATTGATGAAGTATTAACAAAATTTAGTACTGAAAATTATATCATATACACTGATCCAAATCACAGATTGCTGCATATTTCGCGGAGTAGGTAATATTTATTATCATCTTTTTGCAGAGTAGCTCTAACTGTTCATCACAGAACATACGTTCTACTGTTATTTGTTTTGGAATGAGGAAAGTTTTGTGTTCTTTGATGTCGATTTGTATTCGTCTAGTGAAAATGAGAATTATTTATTTTTAAAGAAATTTAGTTGTTTGTCCGATATATATTGTTGTAGTTAATTATGTAACCTGAAATTTTGGAAGTAAAATAAATACTGAATGTAAAGGGAATGACACATCATGGAAAATATTTGTAGAACTTGTCTCAGAACTCAAGCTGATGCGAGTTTGTGTTCTTTATTCGAGCAAAAGGACTTGTTGAATAGAATACGTGAGATATCTTCGGTTGAGGTAGTAAAATTTAGAAAAATCCATAGTTACTAGCATGTGATTAATAATGTTGATTTAGCTTTCAGATGTTCCAGGATATCCTACAAAAATATGTATAGAATGCCGCATCAATGTAAATAAATTGTATAATTTTCGAAAAGTAATCCAGAATTCAAATTTAGAACTTAAGGAGCGTTCTGCTGCAGAAGAGAGGGATAAAATTACTAATATAGGGGAAAATCTATTCGAAATCGAAGAGATGATACTGATGATGAGGATGAAAAGCCTTTAATATTCATAAAGACTGAACTAGAAAATGCCAACTATAATGAACATGCTAA